TATCAACTGTGCCTTAACCACTTTGCCTGAACCTCTGTTGTTTGATTAAGTCTTTCCATTTGTTCTGATAATATGTATGTAAGTGTTGTGCAATTAGCTGATTTTCAAATTTGGACTGACTAGTTGACTCCTCGAGTGCAATTCTGCTTAGTCAATATAATGCGAACCTTGTGTGATATTGTTAAATGTCGGATTTTTGGCTACGATTGTATGTGTTAATGCTAATATAGTCGAGTCGACATATGTTGTCAATTAGTTTCAACTGTCTGAACAAAAATAAATCGATTTGTTTCTGTTGGACATTGCCTGAATCAATTAAGAACCAAGTTCAGTCACTTATAGTTGTTAATATGATTTCAGAAAACCTAAGGCTTGATCTGTAATTGGAATCTGAGTTGATGGCATGTGCACTTGTGCACAGCATGTGCATTGTGCACAGCCTGCTTCCTGCATAAAAGGGTTTTTGATTTAAAAAATGGTTTGACAGCATATGCTGTCAGATATATTCTACTGCCCATACCTTGCTTTAGTTTAAGAAGTATTAAACCTTTTAAAAGTTAAGCCTGCCAAGGGAATGATGGGGTTTAATACTTAATTAGCTAAAAGTGGAACTGAAAATGGAAGGCACATGAGAGGGGTATGGTGATATTCTAAACAGGCTGATAAAAGGGTTAATGGAAGGCATATAAAAGAGGGGACCCTAAAGATTGAAAAAAAAAACACACACAGAGAGGGGGAGGCACACTGTGAGAAATTTTTTTGAAAGAGAGAGATGAAATACATACAAATAGATGCACACAGAGCGTATAGGATAAAGGGAAAGAGAGAGAAGGTGATACACATTGAGAGATATACACACACACATAGAGATAGACATTGACAAGAACAGAGTAATTTGAGAGGAGACACTTTAGGAGAGTGAAGTTCTGGAAACAGAAACTGGAAAAGAATTTTGTTTGATAACTCAGACAGACAAAACTAGAAATAGCATTCTTTCCTGTTGTTTTGATTTCACTAAATCTGGACCTGTTTTGTGCAACACTGATTTCTCCCAACTGAGTCTGCTTGGTTGTTGTTTGTTCTACTCGAGAATTTGGTCTAGTTGGGGTGTTGATCTCACTCCAATTGTTTTGTGAGTTCTGGCTGCTGCTATTCTGTTTCCTGTTGCTGCTGCTATTCTGTCCTGCTGCTATTGCTAGTCCTGTTTCTTGCTGCTGCTGATTTCCACATCTTCTTCTTCTTCTCCTTTGCATTTTCAGTATTTCCAGGTACACATTTCAAGTCCCATATTGATGTAACTGAAACAGCTTGAAAGCATGAAATGAAAAAGGTTGAAGAAGTTCAAATATTTGTTGTAATATTCATGGTACATTAACGGGCCTGTAAAAATTGATTAGTTTATAATTCAACAGTTTGAAAGTATGTACTGATATTCGACTAAGTTTAGCCCTTTGTGTTTTAGTTCGGTAGTTGTTTGTTAGTATGAGGTATGTATACTCCGACCTTATACAATGCTGTTTCTGTTTCATTTAGTCTCTTTTTTTCGGGTTCCGCTAGGCAGTACCTGGGGTCACATTCAAAGTCGCATTAGTAACAATATCTAGTAGTTAAATTCTTTAATCTAGTCCAAATAAGTTTAGTTAAGTTCAATTCAAGAAATGTTCGGATTAAGTTTTGTATTTCGTTAGCTCGTATGTGATTCCTCGTCAAATTAAAGCATTTTTCATTAAAGTATAATGTTTTCTTAACTTCATAGATAATTAATCATAAGAATCCGGATCAGGCCAAAGCATATAATTAAATTAGCATGTACCTCTTCTTCTAGTTTTAGGGACAAATGTATTAGAAATGTAGCCACTTTAGGATATCCTTTCTAAAATAGAGACGAGCCTCGCCAAATAAAAAATGCAAAATTGCG